ATTCAAGCAAATGAGCACGAAATCGCTTGAGAATTCACCACGTGAGCAATCTTTACCTTCAAATCACGTTAACACCACCCTAAACTAGAGATCAGGTGGCATTTAGGAAAAAAAACAGCAGACACATAGCCGCTGTGAATAACAACGGTTGCACTTTGGAGGATCAGAAGCCACAACTATTTGCGATTGCTGTCTACACGCCTCCCTTGCGCCTAACTCGTTCCTCCCTTCAAACAGCTTTCACTCTTTTTTTGTCAGAATTTATTCAATATTTGGCAAATATGATTTGTGCTCTGACGTTTCTATTGAGTTTACTGCACTTTTCAAATATGATTTTTCTCTTATGCATCATTCCTTTGAAGAAGTTTTGACAAATTTGTAAACTTAGTTTGCTCAAAACGACAACTTCTATGAAATTATGCACAACTTGTAGTTCTCTCAGGGCTTGCTAAGTTTGAAGAATGCTTGCCATCCAAGAAAAACGAACAAGGGGGAGTTTAGAATATTTACTATTCTCTTTGCTTGACGTTTTGTTCTTATCATGACTGATTTTTCTGGTACAAGACGATAAAAAAGCTCACAGCTTGGGCTACTTCCTCTTAAAGGCAGTGTCTCACCAAAGTTGAGGTCGCGGGGATCTTTACATATTCTATTTATAGGGACCTCTAGATAGGCCATTGCAACAAGTCCCACTCAATTTGACCCCCTCTACGCTGAGAAAAAATCGCTCAAAGTGGTACGCGGAGAGCCAGTTGGTACGCGCGGACGACTCCTTCGGTCTCCCCCCTTACGCGTTTACACATGTCCCTCCACTTGGCATCCACCTCCCCTCTGTTGCTGCCACTGTGGCTGAGGCTGAAGTAGGAAGGTACAACTCGTCCACGTTGCTTCCATGGGGCCTCCAGAAAACGGGGTTTTTGGGAACTTCGCGCGATTTTAGGCCCATACACTGCTAGACAGGGTCCGACAGGCTTGTAAAATGCAAAAATTTCGGCAACTAAATTTTGGTGAGACACTGCCTTTAAGGAAGCGAAGGTGTTTACATAGTTAATGCCAGTAAGGACGCTAAACAACGAGCAAATCTTCAACCGCTTAGTAAGCTCCGTGACAAGCAAGAGGAAATATTGCGACATTAGAAAAATATGTAGTAAATAATTTTCTGTGTGAAAACTCGATTTGAAGGAGATTAGAAGTGAGTTAACCACCAATGCTCAAAGTAATCAATAGGCTCAGTAAAACCACTCAGAATTGTCAATACTTTACCCTAGCTGTTAATGCATTCGGCTATAAACTGAGCGCTACCTAATTGTTGTCGTGGTCACTAATTCCTGCACCAAAAAATAGATGAAAAATGTTCTGAAAATGCTCACAATCCAGTCAATTTCAGAATATGCTTATCGTTATGTACATCAAAAGCAGTATTTTATAGCGAATTTTTGAAAGTCAAATTGAAACAAAATCAATAAGTTCGATTATAAAAAATCGAAATTCCTAACTATTCGCAAAGACATCCGACCACTACCAACTTCTCTTAGTTAAAAAGGGTATGTCATTAAACTAAGAGCAAAAATGATTTTAAATTTTAGTAGACGTTTTAGCAATTTTAGTGACCAAAAATCGAAAAATCACTTTTTGGGTATTTCTCTTAATCACCTTATATCGTTGTATTATAGTATGCCCTTAAGGAATCTTGACACGAGCAGCTTCAGAAACAAGGCTCCCTTATTCTATTATGTATCAAACCGGAAGATTTTGCTGGAGGCGGATGAAGTAATAGAATTCTGTAAGCTTTGATGCAGCAATTATGCATCAGCCTAATTCTCCATTTGTTAGTTGAATATCGAGTCTTTTTATTTCGACTTAAACACCCCCGCCCCTCAAAAAAAAGCAGAATCCCTACCTTGGTGTCGATGCCTTTGCATCATATGCTATTCATGAGTGTAGTATGGTGTCACATCATCCCACTTGCATAAAAACTAGAGGTTTCTGATGGGAAATAGCCTAAAATTTCTTTTCTAATCAAGGTTATATAGAATTTTCTGGTCTTGATCTTACTACTGAATTAATCAGCCCTGTAAAATACTGCTTTTCGTGAAAAGCATTGCATACATAAAATTTTTCTGTTATTTTTTTCCGACATGAATTTCAAACGCCTTGTGCTGAACGTTCCATAAGTAGATGTGATTTTTGAATATAAAAAATGTCCATAAATATTTCCTTAAATGTTGAATCATTTGCATTATTTTTGAATACTAAAGAGATTTTTCCGCAGAAATTGATTTAAGAATTCTACATCGCGATGAGAGAGTAAAAAAACATCGGTATGCACTAGCTTGAAGTTGTTTGCATTTCATACTCAATCATTTATGGCGAACAAAATTGACTCTGTGCATCTAAGACCTTGACGGTGGCGTCTTTGAAAGGCATTTCGGAAAAAGAATTTACTCCTAAAGAGTTTTCACGTAACCTTTTTGTATAACTCGTATGTAAGATCTTCCATACGAAAGTTTGGCAGAAGATAGACAGCCCTATTGTCAACATCTGAATCTAGATGGCAGTGAGCCAACGTGATTGTTTAGCCGAAGCTCTAGGCTACTTTGTTTGCCACGGAATGCCAGTGCTAATGCCAATGCCAGAGATCGCCTCGTGCTTTGGAAGAACAATTGTGAACTTTGATAACCGTAGCAAAGTTCCAATGAGGCATCTTTTGTCGTTTATCCTCTAAGATTACGAACTTCAAATCTGAATATTAATAGAGAGATCAAGGCTCATGTCATTGAATTTATCCTTGGAATTCAGACCAATGCGGAACAAGAGGGGGCCGCTCAAAATTTAGTAACCTACATGAGTTTTTGAAATACTGGAAGTGATTTGTTCTCTTCAAAAACAGTTGAGTTTTAAGTGTGGAAAAAGTGAAAGCTTCGTAAATGATTTTTGCGCATGATTACCTTGATGCCCCTCTCTAGCTTCAGGTCAAGAGTAGGCCAAAACTGGAAAATGTCTCAAAAAAAATTTTTTTTTCGGAGAGCGTGGTACTTCCCTTCAACAAAATAATCAGTCGGTCCCTTCATTGATTTAGATGAGGGCAACTACCATCATAATTGAGTCTCATACAGTTATTGCTGCACACAAAAAAAAATGTAAGAAAGTCTATCTTTGCACGATTTTACAAATGATTCTCGCATTGGCCTTCATTCCTGGTTTTCTGGTAAAAGCTTAAACTCCTCCAGGCGATGGCATATGCCACCACTCCATCTATTCATTAGGGCAATGTATTCCTTATCCTGCATCAGCATTCAAGCATCTAAAGTTTTAGATGTTTTGAAATCAGACCAATGGGTTTTGTTACAAAAATCATGCACACTAGCAGCTTCAGTCCTTTAGGGGTTCAACCAATTTCGACATGAACTTCGGGAGATGTAATGCAGCCCACTGCATCGCTTACCCTTTCATCCTCCTCATAGTTTGAGAAATCGCATACAGTTTTCATATTACACTTATAAATAACAAGAAAAGTTTTGTAGGGTCACTCGCTTTTTCCTCACGGCTTCCTTCTCTTCCTGCATGCAAGTTTAGACAGAGATAAAATCACAGCATCATTTGAAGCGTTGAAGATGAGCTCCAATCAACGTTTTCCATGGCTACATAATTGCTTCTCATACTCGTTTATAATGCGCGGATTGATACCATTTTCACACCTCAAATGATATATCTCTTATCAAGTGCATTATACTAACTAACTATAAAAATTGAAACCATCTTGTTCCGTAACAAGTTATTCTGTGCCAGAAAACATTTTCTTTCACGGCGCTGCAATACCTCGTGGAAGAGCAATGTCTGAATTATCTAGCTCATAACCTTCAATTTAATTTCCTTCCGTACTTTTATCCAGCCTTTTTCGTACATCTCTCATTATTGGTACATAGTTCATTTTTTATATTTCTTTATTCATTGCTCAAGAATTGTTCCAACTGATGAACTCCGACACTCCGATAGTATTCAGAAATTCTTTAGAGCTTATCGGCACAGTTTTGCATTGACAGTCGTTCGATCCTAATTGAACTACTATGTGATTCGATGACTGACTCGAGTTTTAGAAGTGCAAGTCGCAGAGACTTCTAATACGTAATTTCAGCACTCAAATAACTGTAAATTCGTAATAATTTCCCCCTTTTTATTTTTGAAGGTTTTGATGGCATATGACTTCGATACAGCCTAAGAAACGGGAACCTTTAATCTGTACTTTTCCTGAAATTTGGTCGCTAAGTGGTCCATGGTCTGGATAATTTTTGGTCTTGGTTGGACGACCTACCTGCTGATAATTATGATTTTCTAATCTTTCAATCGACATTCTGTTTTTGTTTCGAATCAGTAAGAGGTTATGAAATACTAATCCAACGAACTTCAACCTTGTTTTATATTGCTTGCTTCAAAACCAGTATTTCCTCCAACGTTTTCCTTATTTACGTAATAACCACCAAAAAAAGCAGCACCCTGCATACAAATGCTGGCGTTTCTTTACATAAACTTATTCTCGTTCTCAGCAGCTTTGCAGAGAATTATCATATTCTGCAAACGCTTTGCAAGCATGTTTGCAGCATTCACTCATGAAATTTTCGCCTTTCATTGAATACGTTGTGATCTTTCATTATTTTATTTTAATTTATTCAGTAGCTCTTGGCGTGTCTCACAAAAGAACATAAAACACACACTTACTCGTACTTAACCACTACTACAGTTCATCATGTAGTCTGGGTCCAACCTTTTGAACTGGATTACTAAAAATGTGATGATTGAACTTGTACCTTTGGTCTAACTATAATTCAAAATCCTATTAATGTGATCCATGGAGGTCCATGATCTTTATTGCTAACTTAGTTGATTAGCTTATTTCTAGTTCCCCACAGAAAAGCTTCCACATTTCTTATTGGGTACTATTGTCATCTTGGCTTGTTTTTTCTATGTTACAAAGAGATTATATCATTGACTCATCTTTACAGATGCTGCAAAAAGACTTGAAAAGACTGAAGAAGACGATCAAGAACAAGGTTTTGCGAAAACCATCTTCAAAGCGAAAGTAAGACAGTTGTCGAAGTCTTGGTACATATAAACAACGTAGTTTTTGAATACTACTCATCATGGAACAGAGAGTAGAATGTAATGGAAGCTGTTGATCACATGAGCGGCTAACAGAAAATGATTTTGCCAGAGGGCAATGATTGGCTTCCTTTCATAGTTTCGAGACAAACCTATCATCTCATGTATTTTTACAGGGAAAAAGTGCTCGCTTCTGTTGTTGATCGTGGTAGTGGCTCTACTCAATCATTCCAGGAAGAAGAGGATCCTTACAAAGTGAGACAGCCTTTAACTCTTTCATACATATCTCATATAAATGCTATCAATTTCAGCAGAAACTTCGGAAGTACGATGACAACGTTTCCCATCTCGTTTTACATGGATCTTCACTTAATTCAATGAGTAATCACGACTTCGGCGCTGCCAAGCAGGAAGTAAACAAAACAACTTCTTCGAGCCTCGACACCGTAGAACACCCCGAATCGCCAAGAAGGATAGGAACTTCTAGAACTACATGATGGCCTGCTATTAAAACTGTTAGTGGTTGCATACGTGTATGAATCCGGGTGAAAATAAAGCTTTTACAAATGTATGAAATGCAAATGGAATTAAAGTACTGATGTGAGTCACGAAAATGAATCAAGTACCAATTGATATTGCAAGGAAAAACCATGAATGTTTTCACGCTCATGTTAGGCATGTATAGGTCATAAATCTCATGAGTAATTTTTTTTTTCAAGCAATTAGACCATTTTTGAGCCCGCAACTAAACTGACAACTATAACATGATGAGATATTGGATGAGATTGTGAGCCCACTCAGGACACAGCATTATCATTTTCCCGAAACGTACAGTCCGAGACGAGACTAGGAGACTGAAGCGTGCCTCATATCGCCTATAAGCCTTCCCTCTGATTAGTGCCTCACGAACGAAGAATTGTAGTATGGCATTCTGGGACAGTTGGGTAAGACCACCATAACCATTATACAGGTGCTGACCATAACTACGGAGTCACCTTAACAATTTACGGTAATAAAAAATGTAAAGTGTAAGCGGACGACATCAGTTTGGGACAGCTTTCAGCCTGATGTACATAACGAGATTACGTTCATTCCTGTGTACCTTTCCAAGCTTGGAACTTTTTACATCGCGAGAGAAAGCGAGGTACAAGATTGAGGCGAAAATGAGCAGAATGTAGTGTGAATATCGTTCAAAAGTCAAAACTGCTGAAAATGCTCAAAATCGCATGCGGAGGGTTGCAGCGCATGCAGCACAGTTCCGGAGCGGTTCCAGCACCGTGCGAGAGAACTGTGCTGGAGCTGTTCCAGAATTTCTGTTACACATGCTGGATTTCGCAAGGAGGTCCACATGCCCCAACAGTTTTTCTCACTAAAAGCTTTGATTTGTATGGCAAAATAGTGCATTTAACTTCAAATTCATCGTTGTTTTGCAAAACAGTTCTATGTCTTCCAACGATGACATTGCATTTGCTTCTCCTCTAGCCGTTAGATGCTCCTTGAGTCTAACATTCAGTACCCGTTTCTCCGATATATGTCGCCTTGCAATTCAAGAATCAATTCTCTAATGTTCACAAACATAACATCATTTTGCATTTGCGCTCGCGTTATACATTGTTTGATTGCTGCACTGAAATCATCAGAAGTAAAAGGCATGCACAAGGGTACCTTGCAGTGGCGGAACGAGGGAGGGGGGGGGGAGGCGTTCCCCCTCTCCGAGAATGGGTTGCGAAATTTTTAAAATTTACTTACGTGGGCTATAAAATTTTGAAAGTGACTTAATTATTCTTAAAAGTAATTGAAACAACTTTTTAAAATTTTAAAAAATTCATATCAGCCTTGCAAAATTTTTTTCGGGGGTTGTGGGCCGGCGAAAATTTCGAGAAGCATCGCAAAAAATTTTCGGAATGTGCACAAAATCGTGCACAGAAAGTGCGAAATTAGGCACATTTGCTTTTTTGGCTCACCTCTAGGCATGGGCCGTATGAAGTGATACAGTTGCATGTTCTGGTCCAACACTGAGCCGAGAATGGCTTAAGACAGATTTAGAATCAGCGTTTTATGCTGCATCTAATGTGGTATGCATTTTGCTTGAACTGTCTTCGATTTCTGACCATTCCCTTGTGAGTTTGTGTGTAGCAAGATATTCTTTGAACTTCCCTTTCGATACTATTTCATCCAAATAGTACCATCGCATAGATTTATCTCGATATTCACGAAGGAAAGCTATCTTTTTCGGAGTACAGGTACATGCTTGGGGGTAACTGTGGAGTTTATAAGATATTTTGAGGTAAAGATCTTGGCACCAATTTTGCTAACCCAAAATTACTGATGAATGGAAAGGAAGACGATGGTTCTGGTAAAATCGAAAAGGGTTATAAGATAACCTGATTCTTGATGGAAGACGCTAGCTTCACTCATCGTAACTTGGCAAAAACCTTGGAAGATAGTTGTCATTTATGATTACATTTGATATGGGTAGCAACAACTTCTGTATTCTTCATTTTCATTACATTCTCCAAATCTGTTTTAGCTTCCTTTTACGATTTACTGCTTTTTACGTATATCATCTATTCATGGGTCCTTAGCCTAACATTCGAAAAGATGTGCAGCCAGCAGCAGATGACTATGGATTGATAAGCAAATAAAATTTTTTTCGAAAACCTCTTCTTTAACTGATCATAACTTCCTTCAAGATTTGTCGGTATAAATGATAAGTTGACTGTCTTGTACCCGCAAGCCAGTGGTACAAAAAAAGTACAAGAGGCTCAAGAGAATATTTGCGAAAAGGAGAAAAAGTAATATTCAAAATTGTCCGCTTTTTTCGACATTTTTTCGTAGCCTTCAAAATCCCAAAATATGGAGAAGTGGGATTTTCTGTGTACTGAACAGCTTCCACATTTTTGCAAAAACTGTCAACAGGAGGCTCGAGGCCCACCCTTACGCTTACAGAAATGAGCAAAACTTTGGCGATTGCCCTCTTCAAAGGAAATCTGTGGGCTACAGAATGGCCAAAACCATCACTCATGTTGATTGGCCGAGATCTCAGTCTAAGTAATTTCTAGGAAAACAGTAAAGCATGCATAACGTAGAAAATTTCTACTACATACAATGGTTAAATTTTGAAAAGAATGCCTTTACTCGCGCTTGAATTCTGGCCGAAAAAGTATGTGCAATGAAATTTTGGTTTTGAGTGCGGTTGTATGAAGCTCTATAAATTTTTAACGAATGAGGCTAAAAGCTTCTTTCAACCACCGTTGAATAGAGCATGAAAGAAGCTTCTTGACAATATGTGTGTAAGTTTCATAGGAGAAATTTCGATGGAGAAAAGCTATTTTGAAACAAGGGCTAGAAAAACGCGCATTACTTTTGCACCAACCTAATATAAAGCAAGCGGCTGGAACTCATCGGTATCACGTCGACCTTGGAAGAAGAAAGTATTTAATGAGGAACTTGCCGCGATGAAGATAAAACGACTAACAACAAGAAAAGAACACACAGATCAAGAAACCTCGTATCGTGCACGTGAAATTTGTCCGAACTACAATATTGCAGATTGAGTAAACAATTCTGATGGAGAATTTTGTAGAAGATCTTCTAGATTGCTTTTGCAATAGTCGCACTGGCTTCTTGAAAACCTTTATTTCCCCTTTTCCTTTCAGGTAGCTCAGGAAGAGAAATCTTAAGATTGAGATAGGTCTAGTTGAGATATATTAGGTCGTTCCGAAAGTTCTTGCGCACTATTTTCAAAAATTCATAACTCTTTAAATTCTTGACGAATTTGTACGATCAAAATTTTTCTTAAGAGAGAAACTCATGCTCTTTGCATCCGTACTTGAATTGTTCGTTAATGTGTACAAATGAAGGAGATAGAACCTCAAAATCGAAATCACTCAAAATTTGAATTTTTCGTGTAGGGTCATGAAAAATCGAGACTTGCAAAAAAAAATCGGAGCAGTCAGTATTGTAGGTTCTTTCACCAGCTCTTTCTAATAGTGCAAAGTTTGCGCCGATCGAGGTCTCTACGGAAAGTTATGATTTCCCTGAAAAATGCCAAAATAAATCAAGTCCGCCCTTTTGTACTGACTGCTCGACGCTGAATCGGCGCAAATTTTGCCCTGTTAGAAAGAGCTGGTAAAAGAACCTACAATACCGACTGCTCCGATTTTTGTTGCAAGTCTCCGATTTTCTATGACCCTACACGAAAAAGTCAAACTTTGAGTGATTTCGGTTTTGAGCTTCTATCTCCTTCATTTGTACACATTAACGAACAATTCAAGTACATTTGCAAAAAGCATGAGTCCCTCTCTTAAGTAAAATTTTCATATAAATTCGTTGAAGTTCAAAGATTTTGTAAGTCGTAGAATAGCAAAATAGCAATGTAGATTGCCCTTTAACTTATGTGACTATACTGACTCCACTCCCAATGACAGACGTCTGACCTCAAAGTCTAGCATAAGAGGTTGAGCTTCCTTCTCTTTAATCACCTCCGTCCTTCTATCCACCGCAGTAATGGCAAGGGTCCCGCGATGACTTCGCGCCCGCCTTTGTGACTGCTTGTTCGGATATGTAGAACGTGTAAAAGTGCCCGATTCTGGTAATTTTTGCTCTCTCCAAGCTGAATTCTCGGAATTAGCGTCACATATAATCCTACTATAATAACGCGCTAAGAGTGTTTACGTGTTTTGTGTGTGTGTGTCCGTCTGAATGTCTGTTTGTCACGAAATTCGTAGAGCGTGTTCCAGCCAACGTCCTGAGCGCAAATTTTGCATAGCGCTTGCTACTGGCATGAAAGTCCATCCCGCAAAAGCACAAGCAGATTTGTTGAATGGATCTTTTAGAAATTGCGCGTCAAACGATCCTTTTTGCATTAGGCCCACAAAATTGGGTCCTAATTCCACTTTTTGCCGAGTGGTGGATATTTATGGCAAGTAAATGTGCAAGCCATGAAATTAGGCCCAAAAAAGTGATCAAAAGTCCATTACTTTACAAAAACGGTGCCAGAAAGTATTGATTGCGTAAATAATTTGCCAAGGTTTTACCAGAGCATTTGACGAGATTTTTGCACCTAAATGTAGCTCACGGTGACTACTGTTTATGGCAACTGTTAAGACCATGGGAGAATCAAAAACCTATAAAAATTGCGTTTGTTCTCCTGCAAAAACTTTCATCCACGCAAAATGACTTTCACATGAAAATGCTTTCGAAATGAGTAGTTATTTACATTTTGTGCGTGATACTCGATAAGGCTTGGTGAGTTTCAATGCCATCATTATGCGAGAATGAGTAAGGCCTAGACAGTAGAGCGAGTGCGAGCCTCTGCCAAGCAGAGGTGAAGCACTGGTCTCAGATAAGTGGAAGCTGGAGGTCCATTTGCCGAGCCACGGTTTTTGAGTAGAAGTAACCGCTTCTGCCACTTGCTTGGGATGTTTGTTGTATTGAACCAAGCCTTCGGGCGTATCAAATAAGAATGAAAATGATATGAAGCTAGTGATTCTCACGAGGTGGTCAAGGTGAAAGCGTCTGAGGAGTACGATCAGTTACCACTGGTGTATGATCCAAAATGCTTTTAAAGGATATTCGTTGACGACAGCCCCGTTTCGTGCATTTACACCATCGCGGGCGTGCCTTTTTGAAGCCTTTCCAGCTTTACAGTAGGCTGCAGCTCGCGGGGTATTCGCAGCTCACAGCATGCCCGCCCTTTAACCTCTTTTTGTTTTTACATGAAACTATGCAACTACTCAGACAATCGCCGGGGGCAGGCGGGCACCGGAAAAATAAATGGCTGATTTCTCGTAGCCCGCTCGCGAATTTTTTAGAAAGCAATCAGAACTTTTCGGAAGGCCCGCTTGTTGAGTTCGCGATTCTTCAGAGATTCAGCAATATATCTGCAAAAGATAAGAGCGAAAAAAAATCGACAGGCGGTCTCTCGAAAACTTGCTGACCATTTTCCTGGAATTTGCGAGCGGAATGCAAAATTTCAGCAACGCGTATTTTCCGGCGCCCGCCTGCCCCCGGCGATTGTCTGAGTAGCTTCTACGAATTTCTTTATTAGCCATTCACTGAAAGTTATTCATTTATCACATAAAATTATATCAAAGAAGACTATAACGGTAAGACGACAAGGAGCGTTTTGAATAAGATCACGGTCCGACTTTTTTTCTTAGCAAACATCGACGCGAAGGAAAAGTAGTGCAGCGACACCAAAAAAGGTGCAGAAAAAGAAAGTGCCTATCAAACGTGAAGTTCTGGCTGAAGGAGACACTGTACAAAGTGAAGCATTTACGTAAGTGACACAATTGACTCTTGACACATATAATAATGATAAAAAATGACATTTTGTGATTCTCTCGGCTTGGAAAGATTACACAGTCTGCAGCAAAGGTCATGGATCTTCTATGAGTTTCGCAGAGATCGTTTTAGCCATGGAAGAACCGGTAAACTCAGCGGACTACTGGTCCTACACACATGGTAAAGCATACCGTGTGAGGATCACTTGTCCCCAGACGCAGAATTTAATAACAGTATTCTTCCTCTACCCGGTATTTGAAGTTCCATAAGATCTTTGTCCAAATAAGTGTCAAACTCATAAGTGTTAATGTTCATTTTCTTGCGACCGAGCGCTCTTTTTTTCAAAAATTGGAAAACTTTTCAAAGGAAAATGAAGTGATAAACGCCAAGGTTACTAATAAAACTCGCCTTTCACATCTTATGGTAATGATTTGGGAAGATTTTATTTGGAGAGTGATCAAACTTCTCGGATCTGGAGATTTGGAGACGTTTATAAAGTTGTTGCAAAGCATAATGATCTAGATAAAACAGTAAGCATTTTTCCTTAGTTTTCTTCCAGTTATGTTGCATTGCGATACTACTTATCACAGGAGTCCGCTACAGAGACAGAAATGGTACTTGGATGCCGGAGATTATTGCGATTGAAAATAGAAGTGATGGTGCTGATGAAATGCCATGAACAGACAGATCCCAACCATAAACGACATTTCGTAGCTTTCGTGGATCGAGGAAAAACAGCAAAATTCAAGGTATATCAGCTCGAACTGTCTGAAGTCCAATCCACAACGCTAGGCTTGATTATTTCCCAGTTTCTTGTCATGGGCTTGGTTGGAAAGTCTCTGGAAGATCTAAGAAGAGATATACTCGGTCACAGCTATAGTAGGTCGACAGTGATACAATGTAGTCTGCAAACACTAGCCGCTGTACAAGATTTACACGGTCTAGGCTATTTACACAGGTAACGAAGGCATTTTTGTGCATATAAGCAAAAAACGCATAAAAAACGGTACCAGCGAATTTTTAGAGATATCAAGCCACAAAATTATGCAGTAGGCTTTGGTGAGAAACAGAGTACCGTTTATATGCTCGATTTTGGTATTGCTCGTAAATTTACTGTAGGAGAGACGAAGGAAATAAAGTAAGCTTAGACGTCCTATGGATACAAGTGATGGGAAAAATGTCGTTTTTTGCAGAATAGCCAGAGCAAAAGTCAGTTTCCTGGGTACTGTACGTTTTGCATCAAGAGCATGTCATACATGTTTAGAACAAGGGCGTAAAGATGATTTGGAGTTTTGGATATTCATAAGTGCGAAAAAGAATGCCTATCAGTGAACTCCAGCAATTTGCACAACATTATTCAAATAGTCCCGATGTAATTTCTTTAGAAAAATAGTGTCAGTAATTTGTCGCGGCATGCCTATGAGTCGTAGACTGCAAATTATTGATTTTTCATCTTGTGGAAGCGCCTTTGGCCAAAAAATTCTCAAGATCCACTTGTTATCTTGAGATTTTCGATCCTTCTCAGTTCTTTCCACTTTTCTTCTTCTTCTGCAGCGCTACATCTTTGCCTTGGCAGGATTCCCTACAAATCTTTGATGAATGGACGATATGTGGTCCAAGAAGGGTGGTTTGATTGTTAGAGTAAAGTTTCAGGTTTTCGAAGTTTTCGATGATGCGCATGTTTCAAAAATCAAAGTATGTTAAAATCAACTCTAGCGGTTTTCTATGGTCTCAGGATGTTTTTTTTCGGTACTAAGATGTTATAAAGTAGTGCGGACTTCAAGAGGACTGTGACCTATATTGATGAAATGAGATATGCAGATGAACCGGATTACGTGTAAGATTCTAAACTTGAGTTGAGTTTTACACTTTTTTGAAAAAAATTTTCTCAAAATCAAACTAGACCCTCTCTCCTTACTGAAGAGTCCCGGAGAGGGTCTAGATCTCAAAACTCCGTCTAAGGAAAGGGACGAAACGGAGACAAAAACATATACAAAATTGTTTTTTCTTTATATTTAAGCAAATAGATCCATTCGATACTGACACCAATTCTAGCTACATAACAAGTTCTTTGAATGCTATAGCTAAGAAAAATAAAATAGATTTGATTGCAGGAAAAAGACTGCAGGTTGGTAACCATGAAACTGGATAAGAGACTAGAAAATTTTTTGAGAAAAAAGAGGTATCTTCTAACAATCGACAGTCAGGCTCATGATCAGATTGAGGCGCAAATTAGTATTATGTCTCAAAATGTGAGTTCGAGGAATTGTCAATACAGGTTTGCTAAAAATAGCACCATTTCCAGAGTCATTTTCGAACAGCAGCAATCGTAATTATTGGCTGAAGCTTGCTCAAGCTATTGTCGCCGAGTCTCACTACATTCTCCCCCTCCCCTCCCCCCACGACTTGCCAATGACATCCAGGAATGCAAGGTACGCATTTAAATAACTTTCAATGCTCTAAAGATTCTGCTCGTTTGCAGACCATAAGCGATCAACTGACGATCAAGTACGGAAAGCCAGTCGCTGAGGCGGCTAGAGCAAATCAGCTGGAGTTCCCTGCTAAAGTTTCTCCCAAACTTATCAGCAAACTGAGCGTAGCTGCACCACCAAAAGTGATGGTAGAAAGGTAAGTGTTTGAATTTATCGTTTTCCGCCGAGTTATTTTTACGTCGTGTTTTTGTTTCGGAGCCGTTAATATAGACTGCTGTTTTTCTTATTTCTGCAAATTTTTTTTGTTTCTCCAATCTCTTTGCTGTAATTAGCAGTAATCTACCCTCTTTTATTACTACCAATCTGTTTTTGAAATTTGAGGATGGTATCCTTGAACGATAGTAGGTGTGGCATCTTTCTTAGAGCATTTTCGTGCTGGTGCTGAAAATGATTTTTAGGCGATAGTTCGTACTATGCATTTTTCAATGCACAGTCGTTTGTTTCATCTATTCTTTTTTCGCAACTTTGCATTGTCTCTTCGCTGAGGATTATGCGCGGGCTTAGGGTTTTCGTACACTCCCCCTTTCTTGCAAACCGTGGCTAATCATCGTCAACGAAAATATCTTGCCATTCAGTTGCTTGCCAAGACTTTCTTGCTGGAAACATCTTTCCGTGAAAGTGTAGTGTTTTGCAGATACGTTACACTCTTATCTGGTCACTCAATTTGTTCTTTCCCTTCAACTCTGAAAAAGCTCGATCAAGTTTTTGCTCTTCTCGTTATTTTATCATATCGCTGCCTCTTGAAGTTGTAAAAATCTTCTAAAAAATTCCAGTTTTTCCCACTATTATTGCTAGCATTCTTAGTTTTCCTGGGCAGATATACCTCTGAAGACTGTATCTAGTCTTCCTTGGCCATTGGTTTCATCAGAAAGTCATTATCCTCCAACTGTTTAGGTATATGATCGAGATTGCTGCTGTGAGCGCTGGCGTTCCATTCACGCCTGATCCAGATGTCATGAGAGATGATGAGGTGGCTCAGGCAGAAAAGATGCTCATTGACTTCAAGCAAGCTGGTACTACTACTAATGTACCGACGCAACACAACCAGTCGTACTTCCAGTTCCTTCATCAGGAGGCATTCCACCTGCTGCTCCTCCAAGTGACGTAAGCAATCAAAATTCTTCTGGTGAGTATAAATTAATTTCGATGTGAACTATGGTTGGAATTATTATGGATGGACTGGAAAAAGCCTTACGTATCCTACATTGAGTCAACGGGTAAGTATTAGATCTCGCTTTCACTGGGTGGTAGTTCCAGAATTAGCGTGGTCTGTACATTGAGGACATAATGTAATACCTAACGTACTAATACTGGCGGTGGTAGGGGAACGAAGGCCGCCAGATTGAGCTGTTTGCGGCCTACTGGTCCTTTTTGCAGTGTTGCTGCATCTCGTTACAGGGCCAGTAGTCCAAGAGGCGGTTCAGACTGGCGGCTTTCTATCCCCTACCTGTCATCTGCACGTTTATCTTCATGCAAAGAATACTATTTTTAGGATCACCTTGTTATTGGTATTCGAGAAAATTTACTATTGGAAAAGAAATTGGGTGGCCTTCTTCGTGATGTTGAAGAACTGAAAAGGCAACAACTTCTGAAGGCATCTGCGAAGATTCCCACCATTTTGAAGTCTGCCATCTGCCATTCCGACGTCGCGGTACTGATGTTTTTGATCTTAATGTTTTGCGTGGTTACCACTTCCGCGCAGTATCTGCCCACGGCGGAGAAGAAAGTGGTTGTAAGTTGTTTCATTTCATCAGTAACCGCATTCAATATTTTCTTCAGGTGTGTGGTTGCGACATAACAGTATCGTGGCAGGACGCTTTGTTAAACTTAGTTTTATGTTCATGGGAACCTTAACGAATCAGCTAGTGAGACAACGATGGAAAATACGATTTATCGTATTCAATCATTTCAGATCAAATTGCATCAAGACAAAGTTAAATTGAAGAGTCATCAAAGAAGAGAAAGAGAAGAAGGGAAAAGAAGAGCAAGCAAGGGAAACTGGGACATGATGTGCAATCGGTACCAGGAGTGCACCGTCGAACGGTGGTTATCCCTGCACCTGCCCCGGTTGCTTACTTGGCCACACATCTGGGCCACCGCAGCCGGGGCTGGTGTCATACCACAGTTCGCCGGTGCACTCCTGGCACCGATGGCACATCCTGTTCCATCTGCCCCTCCTCCTAACACATACTAATATGATAAGCAATATCCATTTATACCCTATTTTTCGGAGTGGGAAGTTCGCCACGCCACGACGCGAGCGGTGTTTGACGCCGTAAAGGAGAGGCACAGACTTTCGCAACAGTTTTTACATCCGTCGTCTCGTTCTCTTGATTATGAGTTTTCCGGAAAAATCTGCTTTACTAATTTGCCATATTTTGCAAAACACAAATTTCCCATCTAGGTCCCATCCTGCTTTATATGTATTACTTTGGAATCATCAAACTAAAGCTATTTTTCAAATCATTTATGTCTGCATTTATTGTCAAGACTTTGCTAAATTTTGATCAAAGTTGAATTAGCACTGACACATTTTGAAAATTCTAACAACTATTTGCCATTCAATTTCAGATAAAGTAGAACAAGTAGACCGTTAAAATGTTATACAGGGTGTCCCAAAAAGATGTGCACACTGTTTGATTGTTAATAACTCTCTTGCTTTCATGTCTTTTGCCGAGCTTGAGGTACCATTCTGTAGAGCGAGGATAAACTTAGATTTACAATATAGAAGGACTTATCAGCCGCTTTTCATTACTGTAGGATTACGGTAGGATTTCGAGGAGGATTTCGAGCAATGGAAAGCTGTATTTTGCCTCAGAAAAAAACCAAATAAGCCAGAAACTCTTGAACTGGGCTAATCGCAGTGGCTGATTCTAAATATGAAAACTGCACGTCAGTACACTGTTTCTTTTATGAGTTATTTCAGATTTAGGAAAACAACTGATTTTCCAATGTTCGGCAGAAATGTGAATACGCCGTCAAGAAAGCTCAAAAGACTGATGGAAAGTTATGTAGTGATCAGCATGCCTGAAAACCTCGCTACACAATTTTTTAGATTTTTTTGAAATTATTTCATTAAAAGGCTTATTCCACAGTGATGCTGTATGTTGGAAGTTCATACCGTAATCCTACAGTAGCAAAAAGAGATTCGAGTTTCGCTTAATACTGCAAATCTAAGTTTATCCTCGCTCTACAGAATTGTACCTCAAGCTCGGCAAAAGATGTGAAAGCAAGAGAGTTATTAACGATCAAACAGTGTGCACATCTTTTTGGGACACTCTGTAAATCGTAACCTAAGCCCAACCCTGAGGAGCATCTTTCGCACCAACGTATATAATACTTCAACGGTCTACTTGTTTATCTGGAAAATAGGGTGTATTTCCTAACAAAGAGTACATAGTGAATAATCCATTTGAGAATCTCATGTATGTCTAACATACACCTCTTTGGCTATTTTGCATATCACGAAGATGTGAATAAATTTGTGAGGAGTTCAATGTAATCTACATCCTGTCCAGAGTGTTGAGCAAGAGGTTAGGCATAAGTTCTTCGAAAGCTACTTCTTCCTCTTCTTCATTCCAAAACCTAAGAGTGCGACATACGGAGGGCATCATCCTGTCCTGAAGTTTTTGAGTTTTTTTAACTGTACGTTTGGTTTTCAATGACTGCATTGTTAGAAGAACATGTAGTTTGAGTTTTTGAGTTTTTGATCTGAATGGGTTTATCGAAGAACAATCACGAGGAACTAAATAAGGCAAGAATTGAGATCGTGTTAACCATTTGAAAAGCTCAGAAAACTTATGAAGTTTGTTCAATGAAATCAGCATGCGTTAGAACCTTGTTACATACTCTCATCCAAAAACAATGGCGGGTCTTCAAAACAGGTCAAAGGGGACTTCGTAAAATTTTGGAAAAGTCAAGGGGGAAATCGTTCTCAAAATTTCCTGGTGCCAGCTCATGCCGAGCCCTGACTACGTCTAAACATATTGCAATCCTTTCCCGTTCTTTTCTTTTTTTTCCTTTGCAGCGCTACATCCTTGATTCAATGGTAATTCTGTTCAAGACTCTAATGAATGAATGAAATTTGGAGCTTAAATCAGTGATGTGGTTATCAAAGTAGAGTTTCAGGTTTTCGAACTTTTCGATGATGCGCATGGCCTACCATGGAAACGTGCTTCCAGAAATAAAGTTGTTCCACTCAGAGAGTAATTTTTCAAAAATCAATGTAGAACTCAAATCTAGTTCCATATGTGCTTGAAAACTTGAAAAGTTCAAAATTTTTAGTACCAAGATGTTATAAAGTAGTTCCTGCCGACTTTAAGCGGATTGTGACCTATATTGATGAAATGAGATATGCAGATGAACCCGATTACGCGTAAGAATCTATTCTGTCGGGGTCGAATTTATTCTGACGATAAAAGCCATTTTAGCTACATAACAAACTCTTTGGATGCTATAGCTAAGGAAAATAAAATAGATTTGCGTAGAGAACTGGACTGGATTGGAGTGGTGCCAAAACCAGTCAAAAAAAGACGGCAGGTTGGTGTCCGACAATGAGAAATCACATGAGAGTTTCGAGGAAAGTTTTCAGAAAGAAGAGGTGTCTTCTGACAACCGACAATCAGGTTCGGAATCAGATTGAAACGCAAATTAATACTTTGTCTAAAAATGTGAGTTTGAAGAAGTGTAATCACAGATTCGCTGAAAAATAACCTCAATTTCAGAGTCATTTTCGAACAGACAGCAATCGTAATTATTGGCTGAGGCTTGCTCAAATTATTGTCGCCGAGTCTCACTACTTCTCCACAATGTAAACAATTTAAACATCAGTTTTGCTTTTTATTACATTTGAATAAATACTGGTGGTGTGTTTGTTTGTCAATCGAGATGACGATTGAACTATCTAAGCTCCCGATTGATCAGATTCTGGTCACTCTGCGCACTATCGCAGACATTGTTCTAGCTGCCTTGGAGACGAGTTTCTGAAAATTGAGCGGTTTTAAATTTTTTTCTCAAATAACTTAGTACCTTGCTCTTCGAGATCCCTCTGAAACGACTGTTGCGAGGAGGACAAGGGCAGTAGGCAGCTGAAAGAAGTATTGAAGAAGCGGAAGAGGAAGACTCTCAGCAAGACTTACCATCTCCACCATGAGCCCCCGGCTCTCCTGGGGGTCCTGGTGGTCCGTCGGGTCCTGGCGGTCCCATCGGACCGGGCGGACCCATAGGTCCCGGAGGCCCGGCAGCTCCCACTCCAGCTTGACCATCCGGACCTGGAGGACCCATAGGTCCCGGTGGACCTGGAGGGCCTGGAGGTCCTGGCACTGGGATACCTCCTCCAGCTCCGCCCCCTCCCGGTGCTCCATCTCGTCCGGGTGGCCCTGGAGGGCCGGGTGGACCGGGATCTCCAGGTGGTCCTGGCGGGCCTGGTGGTCCCATTCCTCCGTTCCCGCCTGCCATGCCGGGCATCCCGGGTGGTCCCGGAGGTCCCGGAGGACCATCCTCTCCCGGTGGTCCGGGAGGTCCTGGCGGGCATGTTGCGCAACCGCCACCACCACCGCCGTATCCATTTCCGCCCATGCCGGCCAAACCGGGTTTGCCAGGCTTTCCAGGCTTCCCATCCAGACCGCGCAATCCAGGAAGCCCCGGTGGTCCAGGCGGTCCTGGAGGGCAAGCAGTTGTCATTGGTGCGCAGCTGCACCCACCTCCTCCTCCATACCCTCCACCTCCACCTCCGTAGCCACCGCCACCTATCCCGTATCCTCCACCTCCATTCATGCCACCTACTCCGTAACCTCCGACACCGAGTGCTGGTTTTGCGCACCGTCCACCCCTGCAGCCGCGAGCTCCAGCCTTAATCGCGTAGCCGCCTCGTTTCTGACGTATGATAGCGTTGAATAGCATCTGTGCAGATTTGGAAGATTTTGCAGGAACAGTAAGTTGCGTCAGAGCGGTCCAAGCTCCGTTGGAGAGATCCTAAAAAGGCAACATCAATGCTACTTATACTTGAATCTGAGCAATTCTGTGCACACAGTATTTCCGTGCTGTTTTCTAAACTTCAAGGGGTTACCTTTCACTGAATCATTTCAACAACTGCATGTCAAGAAGACGTTTTTATATACAGCCAGCAATGCTCTGCAACGATAAAGTCGGTCCGTAAAGCTAAAACCTCCTCTTTTTGAGTTATACTTTTCTTACGCTAGCACTTTTTTTCTCAAAGTCAAGAATCTATTTTCTGCTACGGAGTAGAACTGAAGAAAGTTATATTGTCAGAGTAATTTGTATGAAATCTAAGAACGGATTCTGAATGCATCTAATGATGTTGATGTTTACTTGCGCTGAAAAAACTTCGTAAATCTTGATGTGGATAAGGGACAACATGTCGTCGATAGGCTCCACCCCTTGCGGACTGCTGGTACCAATTCGCAATGCCTGTAACATGCATGGCACGTGGTCGTCGTAGATGTCCGCGTAGGACCACCACTCTCCTCCACCCCCCCCCCCCCCGTACTACTCTAGAGCAACCTTTTTCCTATATACCGTAACTTGTAGCAATCTCGCTCCGAACTGAAGCTGGTGGCATGTCGGTCCTTCTAGACGAGTTGTCTCGAAGAAGGAGGTTTCCTTTGTGCGATTCAATCCGACAAACATACTTCGCGACTACTCCATAGGGCATGAGGTTCCAAAAACAAAAGTGAGACGATGTAACCCTCTCTTACTCATTTGTTATTCATGGTGAAACCAATATATAAAAAGAAAAAGAGGCAGCATGGTTTGAACTACTAGTCTAATGTCACACCTCAAAATCTTTCATTTACCAAAAAGTCAAACTTTTAACCTTAGCACAACAAACAGCGAGGCTGTCGAGCAAGTGAGCTGCAGTTAGAAGTGATAATAACTTTTCTCGTAAAACAGTTTTCTACTTCTCCACTGTCGGATCCATTGAGATGAGGTTTGCAATTTGCTGCCGAGTTTCCAATTTGAATTTTAGTTCCCTCCAAAGGTACCTTTACTTGTTGCCAATTCTCTTAATTCCTAAGCCTTAGGAATGTTATGGAAAATTCTATACCCTCCCAAAGGATAGAAACGGAACGAAACTTCTCTCTCAACTTAAAAATGTTTCAGTTTACAATTTCAATCCAAACAAGTTCCATCTAAGATGATTTCGAGGGTACGGATCATAGTTGCGATAGGGGAAGTGATGGATCTTACCCCCCTTCACTTTGAGGCCAAACTCCCGATGACCCCCTTCACCTGGGCTGAGGTTGGTATTGTACTCTGAGAATATGATAAAAATCGTTATTAAAAGGTTTTGCAGGCTAAGTACCTCAAACAACAAGTACACTCATAAATTTACTAAAGAAGCGGTATTTATGTTTATTTATATTATTTATTTATCCTCGTAGCATTTTGGAGAGCAGAAAGTGAGGACACAAAATCAGTTAATTTTTGAAGCACATAAAATCCCTCATATCTCGCGGCACAGAAGACCTAGAAAAAAGTCGAAGGTCTATATCGATTCTCCATGATCTCAGCTTTCGAATGGTATACAGCATGTTAGGGCTTCTTTGCTTCCCGGCTCTAAAAATCATTTGCTCCGGTAACCGATAAAAGCCAATACATTGGTGGAGCTGGGTTGGAGCAAGCTAATAGTAAATATCTCCACCCCATTTTTGAAAACTGGTTAGTTTTTTCGCCCAGCAACCTATATACCATTCGAAAGCTCAGGAAAAGGGGATTCGACCTAGACCGTCGACTTCTTTCTAGCCCCCCTCTACCGAGAGATACACCGTATTTTATCTGAAAACATGGTCATTTTCAACAGCAGATTTCTGCCAAATGAAGACCTAATCACTGCTGATTATCTATCTGTGTTAAAGAGCAAGTCTTCATTAACAAACGTAGACCGTCGACTTTCTCGTGACATTCATTTGGAGAGCAGAAAGTAAGGACACAAAATCAGTTAATTTTTGAAGCACATAAAATCCCTCATATCTCGCGGCAGAGAAGACCTAGAAAAAAGTCGAAGGTCTACGTCGATTCTGTCGATTCTCCATGATCTCAGCTTTCGAATGGTATACAGCATGTTAGGGCTGCTTTGCTTCCCGGCTCTAAAAATCATTTGCTTCGGTGACCCATAACAGTCAACACATTGTACAGAACGTCCCGAAAGTTTTTGCGCACGATTCTCAAAAATTCATAACTTCTGATTTTTCCAACCGATTTGACTGCTTTCACTTTTATGTGAAAGAGTAAGTCATGGTCTTTATAATGACATCTAAGCTGCTTAGTAATGGTCATCTGTTGCATAAATAGAAGCTCAAAACCAAAATCACTCAAAATTTGAATTTTTGTGTAGGGTCATAAAAAATCAGAAACTTGCAACAAAAATCGGGGCAGTCGGTATTGTAGGTCCTTTCACTAGCTCTTTCTAAAAGTGCAAAGTTTGCTCCGATTGAGCGTCTCCATGAAAAGTTATGATTTCCGAGCAAGCAAACAAAAAGGCGAATTTGATTTATTTTGGCATTTTTCAGGGAAATCATAACTTTTCATGAAGACGTTAATCGGCGCAAACTTTGCACTGTTAGAAAGAGCTGGTGAAAGAACCTACAGTACTGACTGCTCCGATTTTTGTTGCAAGTCTCCGATTGCTTTTGACCCTACACAGAAAACTGAATTTTTTTACCATTTTTCTTCTATCGCTCTTATCTACGCAACAGATGACCATTACTTAGCAGCAGATGTCATTATAAAGAGCATGACTTACCCTTTCAGATAAAAGTGAAAGAAGTCAAATCGGTTGGAAAAATCAGAAGTTATGAATTTTAAAATTCATGCGCAAAAACTTTGTGGACGACCTAATAAGAGCGAGGTGGAGCAGGTTAATAGTAAAAAAATGTGCTGTGGATTGACATCGTTATCAGCACTAACGGGAACGTAGCGAACGCGTCTATTTAAGCGTGCTTATCGTTGTTATATGTTTATGTTTTATGGTAGAAAATACGCTTTTGATTGACAGTTATGCCAACATTATTAGCACACACTCAAAAAACTATGGGAGATTGGTGAATTTCCACACCTTCACACAAAAACCCGCCCATTTCTGGAATATATACTCTGTAAACCTAGCGCTGAAGAAGGTCACTTTCGTGAAAACGCTCTAGACTCACCTTACCTAATTTGAAGAGAATGGTTGGTTTCAATGAATCAAAAACTCTAAGACAATCAGAAGAATAACATGTTATTAAAATATATTATATTATATTATAATATATTTATTGCACAGGAAGTGCGCCTTTACAAATCATAGAACACAATAATACTCATCCAAAGAGCAACAAAGAAATAGACATAGGACAGAAACCTGAAACTATTATTTTTGGAAGAAGGAAAAATGTTCTCAGATAACAGTCGTACTCAGTTTTGAAAGTCAGTCTGACACTACCACACCAATATGACATGACATCGGAATTATAGCATGTAAAATTGACTACTTTAAGTAATGTTTTCTTTTCTGACTTTGGGTACCGTGCATAAATCAAGCATAATCACTTTCGCTTTATCTCACCTTTTTTGACCAGTTTAGATAAGCAAGGGTGAGGCAAGGCGAATGGGCTAAACCATGCGTGCCTTGGCAAAATTTCACTGGGCTCATCCTGGGTACCTTGTTTTATAAGGCATTACATCTAAAACGTTTGATTTGTATGCATTACTCATTACGATTCTCAACCAGAATTTGAAGTAAGGGAGGGGGTGAGACAAGGCGAATGGGCTAAACCATGCGTATCTTGGTTAATCACTGAGCTCACCCCAGTTAATACATCAACACCAAGAACGACTCAATAGTAGTCAAGTTTCTGCTATAATTAATGTTGGCAAAAAAAGCGAAGCTTTGCGTGCAAAGCTCAGAACGCTTTTGCACGCAATTCTACTTCTACTCCGATGACGGGCAGCGAACTTGTTGTCTCTGAAGTTAGCAATAGTGATATTGTTGATGATGATGTGCAGGAAATGAAGTTGTTCCTAACTTGTACATCTTTTGGGATAAACCTTATTGCTTTCGTTTTTTGTTGATGCAGTGAAACAGGAGCACAGATCTTCATAATCAAATTTTTTAGAATTTTTTGATTTCTTTTGAAAATTTTTAAATTTTTTTCAATTTATGCCTAAATAAGGTACAAGTTAGAGCTCTTCATACCACGCTTTTTTACCTTTTCTCTCTTCCTCCCCTTCCCCCCTAGACTCACATACCCCCTTCACCCTGGAAGGTCGGGAACAGCCGAGACCCCCTTCACCTGGGGAGAGCCCGGTCCCCCTATCGCACTTATGGTACGGATCACATGAACGTCGTTTAGATTTTATGAACAAGAAGTATTTCGCTAAGCGTACGAGAGGGATAAGAGAGAGCAAATTCAAAAAATGCGAAAGTGACTTCAAATCTTTTCTCTGCCACACACTCAGACAATCGTCAACGACTTCCGGGTCAAATGTTCCTAAAATTCCGGTGAAACACTTCTATTGGAGCTGCCAGGAAGGACGGGGCCAGATAGGGTGGGGCTCACCCACACGTCCCAATAAGAGCGTCTTCTCGGAAGTTTTAGAAGTTCAATTTCCCCGGAAGTCATTTGCGATTGTCTGAGCAGATTTCAACAGTAGTTCTTGTTTCCAATCTCACACCCAACTTTTCGAATATGGGTAAAGGTGGTCTTCTGGCTTCTAAGAAACGTTGAAACGTTGGACAGTGGGATCGGATTAAAAAACCACGTACCCAAGCTGTGAGGCACAGAGATCTGAAGACTCGAACATGCCCAGAGTTTATGAAAACGGTAATTGGAAGTTTTGTAAATAGCTTTTCACTGAATTTAAAAACTAGGCAAAAGTCGAGCCGAACTCCTCAGTGGCACTCCGAAGGACTACTTACTTTGAATTCAAACATCTCCTTCATAGTGGCGTCATAGAAGTTGTTCACATCGGCAAACATCCAAACCGCGGAGAATAAGCAGAGGACGACGACGACGGCTGATGTCGTGACGGCACTGGTCACCACCAATTTCGCGTCCATCGCCGAACCAGTACAAGGAGACAATGAGAGATGAATTGTGTTTGAATGGCACCTTGCTGCTCGGTTTCAGCTGTGTTTTTTTTGCATCGCTTCATGTCAAGTCCTAATCGTGCAGAACTGTTCTTTGCCACTGCGTTTTATCTTCGGCGAGACTCCTTATAGCATGTAATGTATCCATCGAAAAAGTGGTTTTCTCTGTAGAGAAGATAGCCAGAATCTCAAAGCGAATAGCGCCATCAATCACACTCGGGTAATTCAGTGAGAAGCGTTCTTGCAGCGAGTGAAACCGGAACGGGTTGGCGGAGTTGGTTCAAGCGAGAGCAGGAAAAATAATTTTGACAATCAGTCACCTAGCTACTATCAATTTTCAAATTCGCGCGGCACCGCCAGCTCTCAATCAAAGCTTCGTGTGTTTTGTTTCTTTTATCTTTGTCGCTGCATGCTATTTCTGTGTTTTAACAAGGCTCGGATGAAAATGTGCGACTCTATTGTTATTGAGCGGTGTTTCATAAACTATGCTGGGTTTCCTCAACTCTGCTTACAATACGCTTGGAGAAACGGTGAAGATATGAAACTTTTGCTTGCAAGTTCTTGTTTGGTGAGTAAGTACTGAAATTTTGAATCAGTAAATTTTATCCACAAAATCCTATCAGCATCGCATCCAAGTTTAGGAGTTGAAGAGATGAAAACAGCAAACAATAGGAAACATGAAACAACGCTCAGCAACAAGAAAATTGTAACTTCTAACTGATAAAACCCTTTGGCAGAAAGTAGCGTGAAAGGATGAATCGAATAGAGAAAAAACGTAAGTGAGCTTGAACTGGGGATGGAAGGAGCCTCGCTCACCGTAGCCAGTCTCTGGTTCGTTGAATTTGTTAATCGATCGACTGGTGGGATGAGGACGAATATACTACCTAAGTTCAACGAACACGGGATGAGGCCCTGTTCCGTGCTACCGATGATCCGTGCGCCGCTGTAAATGATCTCAAACACATATCTCAGACAATTGCATCGGAAAGTTCGCGGCCTTAAAGCGTGTTACATGGCGCGCCGCGGCCCTTAAAATTTCAGCCGCGCACGCCACGGCCCATGTAAATTTTACCGGGAACGCCGCGGCCAAAGCTGAAATAGGGAAGAGGTTATCGGGAAAGTCGCGGCCCAATCACCTCACTCGGCGGGCCGCGAGTCTTATCAAAGGCCGGATTTTTTACACACTGTAGGTTAAGGCGTAACCCGCGTGAGGTACGACGCAGCAATGGGGCTACTCTAAGTGTTTGTGAGGCTGGGTAATCGTTTCTCGTGTATGGTCCTGTCTGGCGGTTAAGTTTTTATGCTTACGAAACAAACTTCGGCAGTCGGATGGGGTGTTATCACCGACATAAAGATGTCGACAGATGAGCTAACAAGTTGCTCAATTTGCACTAAAGTCATTGTCATGAAAGACAATGCCAAAGATTTTTCACTCTTTCAACTCACAAGCATGCTGATCGGATCAACTATCGGGCGCTTACAGGATGCGCCGCGGTCACTTATCGGGTCCAATATCGGTTTATAGCGGGCAGCTCGCGGCATGGATGATTGGTGGCCGAGCAAGCACCCGCGATCTTCCCGATGCAGTTGTCTGAGTATGACTCTCGAGGGTTCGCGAAACAAATCCACCGCGCAACGCCAAGGTTGCAGACGGCGGCACCTTCCAGCTGAGAATTTCACACTTCCGACTTGACATTCAATTCCGAAAACTCTCATTGTAGCGCGCCTATTATTAGGTTGTTGCATAAGTTCTGTCCGGTTTTTTTTGCCTCATGTTTGAAGCAGCTGTTTTAAGAGAAATTCATTTCTAATGCAATATTATTGGTATCATTGGAAAGTGCTTTTCTTGGGCTTTCTAAAGCTTATCAAATTTCAGCAAATTTCTTAGTGTATGGAGATTTCAGGCCTAAAATCTCCAAGTGGTCGAGGTACGTTCTCACGCTAGAAATATGTTCTTGCGAGAAAAGCTCCACAATGCGCCCTTCAAGTCAAGTTCTTTCATTGGGTTCGGAATAAAGGTGTAACAGGCTAATATATGCACAAGCTCGATTGTATGGAGAAAACGTCTTACTAGAAGAATTTGCTGTCGAACATCAATTTTTTGTACAAGTGTTCTACAAGCAATAACTCCCTGCGAATAAACGCAATCGCTCAGCTCAAAGTTGGAGGCGCTAGGATAAAGCAAGAGCTATCAGATCTAATTCACCAATTCCTTTTCGACGCTCACGTCAATTGTAAACTTTTCATAATTCGTGAATAGGCATGCACACATGTGCTGAAGCGAGGTCAAAAAGTGGCTTCTTTCTTGCTCGGTCAAAAAAATCTCTCGGCAACGCAGACCCTATGGGCTCTTTCATATTGCATAATAATCTATGAAAATTTCTCTATCTATCCATTATCGGATAAGATGTTTATCAGTTCTCATAAGGGAGCGTTGCCATGTCAAAAAAGACAGGTTTGAAGAAAAACGCTGTGGAGTTTTTGCATTCTTGCTTCTTCCTTAACACGGATTTTTGCAGGTTTCAATATGTATCTAAAAGCCAACTAATTGCTCAACACAAGGAAATCAAGATCTTGGAAAAAAAGTTGACTCTGAAAGAAGTTATGACATTTTGAACTCAAAAAATTCAAATCGGACAGAACTTATGCAACAACCTAATACATTCCAATCCAAAGGACACCGGCTTAACTACTCTTCAAAAAAAGGAGCATAGCGGCTGAAATACATTTCGAACAAGGAAGTGAATCAGTCAAGGAGATGTCCGGAGACGACTGCGGCAACAAGCGTTCCGCTAATCGCCGCCGGCTAGCGGATAACCAATGATCCCGGCTCTGTGCTTCGAGGAGCCCCTTGCAGAGTGTCGCATCAAGAGCATATGCAATTTGATATCACAGCTTCAACTTTCAAGGATGCTATCATCTTCGAAGAACACCAAAAACAACGGTGTCCATGGACGAAACTATGAGGTAATCTTCCGTACTACAAAACTGGTAATTAGTAATTCTAGACATTATCATCATCTGTATGACAAAGTGGTGATATTGCTTCAGATTTTCATGTCACTTATAAACACTTACTGTAACACCAATGAAACCGACCATATCTAAGACTCAGTCGTATTACGCATACATATGCGTTCACCGATCATTTCCGATAACCTCAATAATATAAGGTTGTGAAACTATTATTTGCGCACGGCCCTCATTGCTACTCTGTGTTATTTACTTTTTATTATTTTTTAGAAATTATTCATTTTTATTGAGTTTTTTTGCGTTCTGCCCTAGCTCGGAGGTATGTATAACAATTCCTGGAATAATGTTCATATAAATTTTGTGCTTAACCACCATCGACCTTTACAAAATGTCTGCAATCTCAATCCATTTCATAAATAGACTTTTTAGCTAAAAACCTTAGCACTTGAAAATTTCGATTACAGAATAAAGTGGCACCCATTTAATTTAAAAAGTCTAAAAACTTGTCCTTCCTTCCGAAATTATAGCCGAAGTTAAAGCCTTAGATTGACAAGGCAACGTAAAGCTGCTTCATTGTTAAAGCAAGCCTAGCGAAGAAAAAATAATGATGAGACGATACCGACATAATGTTGTCAACTCTAAGATTTTCTTTTTGTGGAAACTGTGCATTCATTGGTCCTCACGTGCTCCCGACTTTTGCTATTTTAGTGTTGGAGGGAGTAGATTCTTTCTTGGAGATGCATCCTAACTTTTTGAAGTGGAAGCTTATTCTGGCACTAGGTGCTAGTAGTTTTGCAATATTATTCACTGTGATTGCAATTCCGTTGCTCCAAGCTGATCTGGAGAGCGTAAAAACAGAGGTATCAGCGAAATGGACGAGTT